TCATCTAATGTGAAAAGGAATGGGTCACGCATATTTCTGTTCAAATCATACAAACTCTAATGCGCAAATTCATGAGGAAAAATGTTTCGTGCAATATGTTAACAGGAAAAGAAACTTTTCCGAATCGCCTTTCTCCGAGTTAGCATAACTTCCAACTAAATCACCTATATTTGAATGTAAGTTCCGCCATTTGGGTGTTGCCTTTCACTCATTGAATTGTGTTTATGAATACATTAATGAAGTTTTTTTCATATTCGCCTGATTAGTTCCGAAGTTGTGGCTTTTCATCGGTATGAAAGGCGAAATTACTTTCCGTCAGACTCTCACAGTTGGAAATTCGAAGATATACTGTTGAAATTGTATAGTGTACTGTGAAATCTACATGAATAATTCTCAGAATCGGAGGAAAGTAGACTTTCTCTTAGATTACCTTGTGCACCTTCATCTTTCTTTCCTCGTTCACCAATGGTATAATATGTTGACTACGTATTAAACGAGCAGGATTCTATGTTCTATCTATAATCAATTCTACTCATGATCTGTACAATTTTCAATTATTTCATCCTGATGCTCACGATATCTGGTAAATGCAATTCAGGACATACATTTTCGAACTGAAAACTCGTTCCTCATGATAAACTCGTGTAGAATAATATCGTAAGCTGGGATGATTTCGAGTACATCAAAAATATGAGGGAATTTCAGTCCTTCGGTGTATTGTTTTAATGGCCGTCATTATCTGTATGAACAGTCTGCCCTCATTCTGAACTCTGTGATCATATCGAAATTTACATATCTCTGATGCTGCATATAATGGATATTAGGGACATAATGGGGCAATAATTATTAAGACTGAATAATGGCCGATATGTCAATATCATCAAGTTCTACGCTCTATGTCTGTGCGCATAATACTTCCTAGATTGAAGCGTCATATGAAAATTATTTTCAATCAATTTTTGATAGGAGCTCTCACCATTTCAACTATCATCGAATGTCTGGCTGTTAACCTTCAATCGATAGTTTACAAACAGTACAGGCAAACTTTCAAATTCCATATCTTCTAGAATGTTTGTTTTCTATAAAAATGTACTTTCATGCCTTCTATACCCACTCAATTCATTGCTCCCGTTTGGAAAATATCCAGTATAATAACAACGGTCGACATAACTTCCTTATAGACTTCTCATACTCAATGAACTCCACTCAAGGGTTGTGGGCTTATGACGAACAAAATTTTCAAGAATCCATGGATGTTCTAGTGTTTTTGGGAGTTGCGGAGGATGAGAAACTTTGGTCTTACTCTTCTCGAGTAATTCTGTAATTTGATAATGAACCGAATGCAACCCCGGGCCTAAGAATTGCCTTAACTTTCTTCGAGAGTTCATTATCCATTGAACAAAAAGGTACGATTCAACTCTAGAACTGGAAGCTGAATGAACGAAAACTTCATCAAGATTTCTTGGCCTTCTCAAGATAGAAATAGTGACTTTCCGATTCGATATTGAAGAAGAATGAATGCATCATAATAATTTCTCCTCATGGGATAGTAGAAAGAAAACTATGGAAAGATAAACCTCAAGAGCTATAATATTTTTCATTATTATTTCATTTCTCTGGATCATTGAGATTTTGTTTCTTCGTTTCAAAAAATAAAAATATCTCAATGTATTTGTAATGGGGACAAAGTGACACTGCGTTTGAAATTTCACCATGATGAACCAAAAACAGAAATCCAATCGAGAGTCACAAATACCCTGTTTCAAAAATGTTTCAAGAGAAATATTGAAAAAATATCAAATTTCCACTTAGCTTTGGACGTTTCATGAACGAATCTGCTCCTGTTTCAAGATATAAATGGGAATTATTCTTTCCTAATTGTCTTCTCGTTTTCGTCAATTGACACTTCAGACATTGTTCAAACCTCCACTGCGACTATATTGAGTGAATCTTTATTTTTTCTCTTATAGTGAAATTCCAAACGCAGTGACATTTTGGAATAAATGATCTATCCTCACTACAAATATATTGAAATAATACTGATATTTGTATTTATACAAACGAGGAGAGAAAATCCAAGAATTTGAATAAATGAATGATTATTTAAGGTTTGTTCAGTGTGGCTCAACATGCTGAAGTTGATTTATATGAGCATCTTTGTTCATCGCATGTTCTTAACAGAGACAACAGACATAATCAAACAGGCCTACATTTTTCCAACTTAACTTCACTTTTCATATCAACATTTTATTTTTATCCAATAAGTGAGCAATTTTACAAAATTTTCTGTGATGGTGAGTTTATCTTGTGTGGAATGGTATATTAAAAATTCATGAGTTCGAGGAATAGGAGAAATGAAAATTGCACGATATGCAGAGCTGTTTCGGAACGTGCATCCTTTTAACAAATGCGAGTATGGGCATATTCATTGACATTCAGAGACGTTTTTTGGACATAATAAGAAAGTCGAGATGATAGTCTAGTCAAAACGTTAGCGATGATAGAAATATCTTGGCAAATTCCTTGCTAGACACGTCATCCCGAAGGAGCACGGTTTCACACTTATTATGGAATTAAATTTACATTTTGCCGAGACGTATTAATATGATGTCGCTGCAGTGTATTTGCCTATCAAGGAAGAACTGGAGCGTACCTATTTATCGAATACAGTGAGAATATTTCACTGAATTAATTCTGGCAGTTATCAATGATGGTAGAATTATACAGCGTGATCAATTGAAAATGGGCAATCTCCGAACTACAGATAGTAAACAACAAAATATGAATATTTTGCCTTACATGATAGCTTATAAAAATGAGGCTGGTTGAGCGGGTATGAAAGCTACAGGATTTTCAAGGAGAAGATTTCATTTTTTCTCAATAAATCTGTAAATTTCAACAGCCTGAGCATAAAAAGTTGTTGATATGATGAATACGATTTTGTAACTTTTAAATCACATTATATCTTCTTCGTCCATTGAATATTGTTTAAAATAGGTTGAAAATCTGAAAAACCGTTCAAATTTACCCGAAAATTCAACACTTTTTAGAATTATCTAGTTTTTGCGTTAATCGCTCCTGAAAAGCTCTGGTGTAGTCACTCATCATTTTTTTTATTATATCAAATTATTGAATTAGCCAAGTGACACTGGAAAAATGACAGTAGATAGTGATTATTATTGACAATCACTAACAATACCAACAACAAACACGTAATACTTGAAGTTATTGAGAAATTTCAGAATAAAATGTTTCCCTTTTTTTCTCCTAATTCAGCAACATTTTCATATAGGGCATGCTGGCTATGCTTCAGGCTATGCTGAATCTTCATATTTTGCGCTTCTCTATATGTACTTCGGAGATTGCAAATTCTTAATAAATCACCCTGTATAAATTATGTTAGATTTTGGTATCAGTTCTAATAGACCCGCAAAGAGCAGCATTGCAGATGTTTCCGAAGAAATTTCACTCATCTTTTGTTTAATCAATAATTCAGCGTTGGTGGAGCGCTGTCCGATTTTATTGCATTTTTTTAGTTCTGTCATTTCATACCAACACAATTTTTATAACTGAACATATTTTATTGCGTACTTCGTAGTCATTTTAACTTCGTGTACATTCGAAATAACCCGAGTATATGGGCATATGAGACAGTAATAAACCAAGAGGAGGCTGGGTTTGCATGAATTGCAAAAGAAATAACGCGATGAATGTGAGTATTTCAAGTTTTCCTGGAAAAAAAAGAAACAAATTAATTCAATCCATGCAGTTCGGAGAAACCCAGTTCTTTGTCCTTTGAGTTGTAGAGGCATATTAGAATTTTCATGGCTCAGTTATTCTGATGTTAACGGTGGTCTTGCATGATGAATACTCATCATTCGACTCGTACGAGTTTTTCTATATCGAGTGAAATGAGAGGTTTCTGATTGCTGATGTTATGTATTCCTTTGATGTGATCCTCTCACAAATCTCGCTGAGCACGATTATATTATGAATGCTCTAGGAAGGATTCACAAGTTTGTTGAGATAAACGACTGAAAACAGACTAGAATAGGCCTTCAGCAGTGTTTAACAAGAAGGCACAGTTTAACGTTGTGCATTTGAATACAATTCGAGACAGCTTTAATGCCAGTTGCTGTGCACTAACAAGAAACTTCAGGCTTTCAATTACACTGAAGCAAATACTCATCGAACCTAACGAAAACGATTATCAACGAAAATCTCACGAAATGATAGATTATGAGACAGACACAAAATCATCTCCATAACGTTTAATCTCCTAAAGGATTAGGGGGACGTATTTCGGATATCTTATAGTGTCCATCATCAGCGATGGGATAAAAATAGTCCTATAAAGGATTACATTTCTAGACTATAGCTATCTAAAACAACAAGAAAAATATCATGAATTGGAATATACAAATTATTATGTTGCATGTAGCACTCCATTTTGGAACAGAATAAACGAAATGTTGAAAAATCGAAAATTGAACTGACAATGGACAAAGACAGATACCATAGGACACACAGGAACATCAAGGAACATGAACTTGTGGCTCGGATAGAACAGAAAGTTACAGTGACAACTGAACAATAGTTCAACATAATTATGAATAGGTCGAAGTAATTTCCACAAATGTTCATAAATGAACGAATCAGACATGAATTAACGAAGTTATCGTTGATCAAATTTTATCAATATTTTGAGTGGATCGATTATTTTGCCGGTGAGTGTAGTCTAAAAATGTCATTCTTTGTAGGACTATGTATCTCTTGGCTGGTGATGGACACTATTGATTTCCGAAACATTTCCCCCTAATCATTCAGGAGATTATTTGTAGTGGAGATTTTGTATGTACTTCTACACTAGATTGAATAATGGATTCATTGATGGTCATTCTCCGCCTAGATGATTGATGGGGAACCATCACTCCCAAAATAAATGATTTCCAACAAGGGGGATATCTCAATCGAAATAAATGCTTGTGTGTCATTTCCAGGTGTCCTGGATCCGGCACAGAGACATTCACATTTTAACGGTTGGCAGTTATACTTACACGAGCGATCAACGTTTCCAAGCCAATCATCACCCCGAGACCGACGAATGGACGCTCCAGATTAAATGGGCGCAAAAGAGAGATGCGGGAATCTACGAATGCCAAATTAGTACCCAGCCTGTGCGAAGCTATTTTGTTAGTCTCAACGTTGTTGGTGAGTACGCCCCCTTATCTCTTTTTTTTTATGACCAGTTGGAGGCATTTACACCTCATAAATTATATGGTCGTATCATTTCGTTTCTATGTTGTCCAATCATCTCATTTGCATAATACATTTTGCCTGTGCAAACAGGAAAGACTATCTTGCGAACATTTCACGTTGACTTCTCAAAAATATGTTCTCATATTTCCTTTCAAAAGTTGTCTCATAATGCATCTGAATATTAAGAATTATACAAGGTGTCCCGAAATTCCATAAAAACATTTCAACTAGTGATTCTAGTAAGAAAAATAGTGAAAAAAGTTTATATATACATGGGTCCAGAAATGGCCCCTGGTGGGTTATAGCCATCTAATGGAGAGTTCGAGATGATGGTTTTATGTTAATATTTCTCAAACCATCTGTGATAAAATGAACAAATTTTGTAAATGTATTGAAAATGTTGAGAATGTTGAAAAAATTAGATCACGTGTGTTGGAAATAGGTGGGGCTAGGGTCCCTTTTTCTCCCAACTTTTTCAGTTTTCGCAGTTTGACCAGGAAATATGGAAATCTAAACATGTACTCTCGATGTTTGATCTAAAATATGAGGGGTGCAATAAAAAGAATAAATTGAAAAATGATATGGTATATAAGTACCCTATTAAAGAACACGTACTATTTTTATTACGGAGCAGACTCAATCTCGAGAATGGTGAGTGCTATCGAAACTAACCACGGGTACAATTTGAGAGTGAAAAATATGATTGTCTCATATCTACTGGTCAAACTGCAGAAAATTTAATGAAATAAAAAAAGTGCCCCTAGCTCCACCTATTTCCTATGCCCCTGTTCGAAATTTTGGCAAATTCTCAACATTTTTGAATTGGCCATGAAAAGTTAGCCGCATGTAAAGAATTTGGTTATTTCATGACATTTCACTATTTTCGTTTCTAGAATCTGTGGTTGAAATCTTCCTATGAAAATTCGAGACACCCTGTATAGTATTGAAGTTTGACATTCCTGAATAGCTTTCAGTTTCCTCTGATTGAATTCCAAACTCAGCAACATTCAAAATCAATGCGAATGTTTTTAGTTAATATAAGAAACCCATACTCGAATTGATGAAATAAAGATAAATGGAGATTTGTCAACAGCTGAGGATCGAAGAAGTTCGAGTATATAGCCTCCGATTCCGAGAAAGTATAAACTGGAATTTCAAGTAAAGTTTCCAATTTTAGATAAGACAACTGATATTGCATATTAAAGTTGGGAGAGTCCTTAAATTTTATAGACAAGTATTAGCATTTTTAACTGGTTCACAGCAAGATTACAGCATTTCCTATCACGATAAAATGGATGAATATTAATAGTGTGTACCGGGATCTCACAACTTTGAAACGAGATGAGCAGAATAAAATATAAGATGCCAATACGTTTACGTGTTACTCCTGATAGCTTCCACCCGTGTTTTTCAACTCCACTTTATCTTTACAATCATTTGAGATACTGGAAAAAATAGTGTGGATTTATTCGTTTCCTGTTACTGGTATATGAAATCTTATATTCAGGAACGGAAGTATCAAGGATAATGTATCGACTCTCGAGCAAGGTAAAACTGCACAGTTGAAAACAGAAACATAAATTTGTAGTCAGCTGTCTCCGTAACCTTTATCACAAAATCTCGATATAGTAGTAAAGTTTTGGGCGTTATATCCTGATACAGCATGCACGGATTTACTACAGGATTGAAATTTCCATATAAATGTTTAAAACTGGCTGACAGTTCAATTTGAACAATTAATTTATGACGCTATGCTATTTATAGGACCAGCGCCTTCGTCAGAACATCGATTAGAGAAAATCGGGTAGGAAATCGAATTATTCCGTCATCATTTTTCACTAAACCAACAATTTTCAAACATTCCGGAAGAGATTTCTTGTGAGCAGTTTCTTTATAATGAACGAAACTATTTTTGGTATATTATTATAATGAGTGTTTATAACAACTGTAGTGAAGGGTTATCGATTCGTACACAAGATTTGCTGATACATTTTTTGTGAATATCTTGAAATGTAAAGTTGTGGTTCTCCTTCTGCAATTTTCATTTGTGGGATAAAACTTTTTCTGTCGCAGAACGAATATTGAAAATGATTATGAATCACCAGTATCGAATTTTTATGATATTATTAGTTTGATAGGTTGTTCAAACAGTAGTGAAGAGTGGGTACTGATAATTCTCTTTCGATAATTTGAGATCAAGCTGCTCAATGAATCAATCATCATTTTTTTCTGCAATAGTGTGTCGACATACTCTCGTTTGGACAGAATCATGTTGGCCATCGGGGACAACTTCACATTTATATGATACGCAATTCGATGCGCAATATCCCATCAATGATTTTTTGTCGATTCGAATAAGTGTTTTGTTTCATTTTCTGTTCAAATCTCTGCTGGCCGTGTTGTATAAAACATCAAAAGCAAATCGTCCTATTAAATCAGAAACTGATGATATATCGCAGCGCGTTACGTGACGAAACTAAACAACCGATTTTTCTTTCTGGTCACTGAAATGGCTTTATCCGGAAACCGTTTCAGCCATTAGGACATAATTGACATTCTTAATGTCTTCTTCACAGCGTACACACTCTTATCTCGAATCAGATCTGGTGATATTTTTGGACACTATCATGATTGACGACCTCATTTGTGCATATTAATCATAACACATACTAGGCGATGAGTTATGGTGAGGTAATTTGTCATAGCCTAACGACTAAAAAGTTCCCATATATAATCGAAAAGAAATTAGTGGAAATATTTGATTTCTTGCAGAGGAATTGGCCGGAGATGAACCCGCCAAGGATGAGGACACCAAAAAATGTAATTGTAGTTGTAATCAGCAAAAACAGAAACTCGGTGGTCCAGGTTACAGGTTATTTCTATCTTTTAAATTAATATACTAACGTGGTTTATGTGATCGCATACTAACAAGTATTTCGTAACAAATGAGAATAATAGTGAATGAGGAAATGCTGAGCTACTTATTGATTGAAATGTGGCATGAATATTTTGTACCTTCGACTAACATAATATTACAGACCCAAAATATCTTTGTTCTGGAATATCATAATCATAGTGAGATATTTCAACCTTAACTGTCACATTCTGTGGTATATCGATCTTGTTATAGGTAGTGTTGCAAAATTCTCAGTCGTTTTTGAGATAGCATTAGAGATTCTGGCATTGGCAAAAGCGAGAGAGTTTCGAGAGATTCAGTCACCATATTGAGTCAGGTTCAGTGATATACACTATACTTGTTATAGCGTCATGGAAACACCAACATTTGTGAAAAAATCTATTTAGGATAGGTTGGAAATCTTTTCGAATTAAAAATGTTGACCACAACTTCTGTTGAAAAATTTTCAATTCTGAAAATTCTAATTTTGTCTGACCCCTCATGAAAGCACCCACGTATCTTTCGTAATCATTGGTTAAATATCTCTGTTCCGGAGAGAATTTCGATAATCCACTTCAATAATTACGGAATATATACGGGGATGTTATCATGAAAAGTGAGGCACGCTACATACAGGGTGTTTCCAAGCTCCATCGGAGCTGCTTCTTCTAAGAGAAATGATGGGCTACTGAAAAATTATTCTTCATTCAATAATAGGAACAAGAATTTGAACAATCAGGAGGAATTTCATTTCCCATTAGATTAGACACTGTGGGGTGTTTTGAAAGACAATACTTTTCCGCTCCTTCATATTATTTAATTCACGTAGAATATCGAGATTCCAAATTGGAAAAGGAATTATACAGAAAGTAATTGAGTAATTTTCATAATTTTCTCCTTATAGTTTGAACCACTTCTCAGAATTTTCTGACCCATTTTTGAGGTGCTACAGCTTCCTAACGAAGAATTTTCGGACCAATGTTGATATAAACTCTCAATTTTTAGTGTCAGGAATGGGTCCATGATACTTAGCCGAATGGACACGTTGCTGAATTTTCTTTATACATATCAAGCAATTCCGATTTATGCAGCGAATTCTGTTAGTTTATTCGGAAAACCTCCATTTTCTCAGAATACCTGTCAGTTCCTCAGAATTCCTCTGGAATCTCCAAAATTTATCTAGATTTCTTGTAATTTCTCCAAATGTTTCGAAATGCTCCTAGATTTTCAACGATTCTTTTGAATTACTTTTGATTTCTTTTTTTTACCTGTACATTCTCTTTGATTATAGTTCATTTGAATTCATTGAAATGCCTCTGAATTCCTTTTAGTTCTAATATTTTTTTTTTTGGAAAACCTCTATTTTATTCGAATCCTTGTCAGTTTCTTAGAATTCCTCCATTTCGGCGTCTTTTCCACTGGCGTATTTCGTCATAATGACCACTTCCGGCAAAGTGTCCATCGATCTGTTTCGTCGTTTTGACCGAAAATTCGGTGACCGGCGGAGTTGGAAAACACCCCGTACACACTTGATTTGTTTTCGCGATGGCGTCCCAGTGATAGCCGGAATGGCTTTAATCAACACCTAGCCCAGACGTAATCTTGCATGTAATGCATTTCGAGGCATCGGCTAACCCCGGCAATCACGTCCGTCCGAAAGTCGACGACGATCGCCATAAGCGCGTCGAAGACCGTCATAGGTCGCCATTATAGTGAGGGAGCTGGTTGCCATTTTGGTTAATGATTTGTTCATGTTTCATATCGATAGGGAACTTGGAAGTTCAGATCAATACGATTCGATTTGGTCCAGTTAATGAAGGTTCAACGTCGATGCATTTTGTGTAATGTATAAAAAGAAGGTGTGCTAAATCATTTGTTCATGTCTGCCTCTAGGACTGATGGTTAGAATCGTCCTAAAAACGATAAAAATCGAAAAGGTAGACATGCAGGGCTCTGCATTATCACGGGATGTATGTACCTAGTTGTGAAAATGTAAAATAAAAAAGCCATTCCAAATCATTTGTTCATGGTTCTAGTTGCGACGAATCGATTCATTATATGACTACCCGAATACAAACGAAGTTGACAGTCATTTTGGTGAACCATTTTTTGAAGTTCAGAAGTGCAGAATCGAGGGAAAGTGGGTATTATTGTTTAAGAAAGAAAGACTATGCACTTACTTTATTCCTGTGGGACGACGGGTGACAGATTCAGAACCCGAATATTTGGAATATGTTACATTAACTAATTATTTCCATCAACATTTTCTGAGCGCAGAATTTTTCATTCATATATTCAATTATATTCAAATTATGTTCGATCATATTCAGATTCAGGTCTGCCTTTGAAAATAAACAGTGGTCTGGATGTCTGCCTCTTCGATTTTCAACGTTTTGCGGTTGATTCTGACCGTCAATCCAAGAGGCCGACATGAACAAATGACTTTGCACAGCTTTTTCTTAACATTGTTGAAGCACTGTCAATAGTGTCAATTAAAAACTCTGCGCTAACATGGTGGCAGACCATGTTTCTGTGGTTCTTCATATTGTCTTCAATCGAACAATTCAAGTGTACATTTTATGTGCACTCTTTTGAATAATATAAATAAACTTTACACATTCATTACTAGAAAAGTTAGAGGTCTGAATGGCTGTCTCTTCGATTTTCATTGGTTTGAGAATGATTCTGACCATCAGTCCAAGAGGCAGACAAATGATTAACACCCCTTTTTTAACATTTTTTATGCGCTGTCAATGTTATGGTGGCAGATATTTTTTTGTGGTTCTTCATTAGTCTCCAATCGAACAATTCAGGTTTGTACACTTGGTACATTTCATATGCATTTTTTTTAATCCTAATTAAACTTTTAAAGATTATTACTGAGAAAGTCAGAGGTCTGGATGACTGTCTCTCCGATTTTCATCGTGTTCCTGTGGTTAATATTGTCTTCAATCGAACAATTCTGGATTGTACACTTGGTACATTCAAAATGCATTCTTTTAAATCATAATCAAACTTCAAAAATGTATTACTAAAAAAGTCAGAGGTCTGGATGGCTATGCCTCACCGATATTCATCGTTTCAAGGATATATGATCCTGATGACCATCAGTCCAAGAGGCAGACAAGAACAAATGACCTGCACACCTCTATTTTAACATTCCTGAAGCGTTTTCAATTGACAGCGCAGACGCGGCCCTTGACGTTATAGTCATGGTACAAAAATCGTAATTAATTATGTCTGCCGGCTCCCTAGCTATTGGGTAATCGTTACGGTTGTGCGTTCCAGTGCCGACCGCCCAAATTCTCGGAGGGCCAGATCTGCACGTGGACAAGGGCAGCACCATCAACCTGACCTGCTCGATAAGATTCAGCCCCGAGCCGCCAGCGTACATCTTCTGGTATCACCATGACGACGTGAGTATCACTATACGGGTAAACACCTCGAATACCGGGTGACGACGAGAGTATTGGCCAGCTAGGGCGACATTCTGTTATTTTTACCAAGTGACTATAGGCACGTTGATAAGCACGCAAAATATTTCCTACGTGTACGTACATGACGTCACTCACAACACGCGATAAGTGCTAGATTCAATTCTCTCTCTGTAAATTTATTTCCATTTGAGTGATTGCTACAGCGAACTATGTATCGGACTGCTATGCCACCGTCCCGGGTTCTATCCTCGCCAGGGTCAACTTTTTTTGAATTATTCACAGTTCCTTCCTTTTCTCAAGTAATTTTTCGAAAAATATACTTTCTAGGAAGAAAATTCATTCAGGTCGACTCGGGTTAGAGTATTTAGGAAAAGTTGTCTCTTTTTTATGGTCATGCAGAAAGAATAAATTCGATATTTCTAATATGCATACGTCGAAAGAGGAAAAAATTGTCCACTAGTCTATCATGGACTGAAATTACGTCCCGAATGTTGTTCCATATCAAAAAATATCATATTGAGTTGATTGAATAGACCTATTATATCATTAGCTGATGAGTGACGTCATGTACGTATATGCAAGAAATATATTACAGACACCTCAACGTATTTCTAGCTGGAGTGTATTTTTTATGATATGATTTTTGACATTTGGATTGAAGATATAGATAAATGGAATATTCGATCGATGACGTCACAGTGTCGCCATATTGATTTTGAAAAAAATGTCTCCTGCGCCGCCATTTCAAATCCAAATGTCCACTTGTGATATGTCATTGGAAGGGGAATTTTCTACTCTTCTGAATAGGGTGAAAATATGTACAGTGTTCTATTCGAAACTCCTGACCTAGGTCTATTTCTGGTGAAACCGGGAAGTGACATTCAATTATTTTTCCATGGAAAATATGGGTTTTAACATCTCCGATCCAAATGTCAAAAGTCTGATGATTATGAAGAGCAACTGGATGAAGCCCTGGCTGACAATTTCGTTGTCACCTCGTATATTATATTATTATGCACGTTTGTGGGATTTATCGCGGACCGCTGCTTGTTCGATTTTAATTAACTCGGTGCCGGTAAATGGTAGGTGGTGAATGCGCTCGGCACGAGTTCGGTCACACAGCCACATATCACATTTCTGAAATTCAGATATTCCGTATGTACAACACAAGGCAATATAATATGTTGTACTGAATTGCGGATTCATCGCTATATAGTGTTTTCCTAGAATAATAAACCTCGATTCCTCGGTTTCGTTGATGAGTTTTAGAATACTGTTCTCTCATATGGGGTTCAGCACCCAAATAAACGCTGATGCTCTCAGATTCCATCCAGAGAAGAGCCATTCGTCTGGTGGATGATGCCATACTCACTAATCCTCCGACTTCATTAGAACACCGTAGAAAAGTCGGCGACCTTTTACTTTTCTATAGATACTTCCACGGAAAATGTTCCTCAGAAATATCTACTAGCAATTCTAGTCAGACTTACTCGACATTTCCAGTCACCACATATTTAAGCAAAACTTATTCGTCTATAAAACGGCAAAGCTTTGGAATTATTCGTAAATGGAAGTATTCCCAAGAACTCATAACCTCCAAAAGTTGAAAAAAAATCCAACACCTACCTTCTCTCCCTATCCTCCCTAGGTTCTCCGAACATTATAGGAATTTTCTTTCGTGCGCACCAAGAGATGAAAGAGAAATGGAATAACCTGGACCTGAGGATGCGCGAATAACTTTTAGTACCAACAAGTGATCATCAAAATTGGTTGTGGCACCTGCGCAGTATGTTCTTGGAGTCTTGTTATATAGAAGACTATGTATACTCGTTGTAGATTCAATCAGAGCCAGCTTCATTATGTAATTGAATGTGTATTTCACCCTTATTCCGATTTGTGAAAGCAAATAACTTTTTTTAAATGAATGTTGATTAATTTTACTCATTTTATTCCTTGTGAACGGCTTGCAGCAGTGAGTAGTTTATAAATTGACAAATATTTTATCAGCTGCAACTGCAACAGCCGTGTCAACTGCAGCTACCGTTGCGAAGTTTACAAATTGAGCTTCAAAGTTGGACGTTCCTATACATCTTTCGAATTCCTCTTCACTTTTTGTGGAAAGAGCTAAGTATAGAAGAAGTTTAAAAAATATGGATTGTACAGGATTTCATCTATATTTCCTTCACGATTGCTCCCATGAGTAACGTAACTAGTGAATGAAAATGATTTTCTCAAAAGAAACACTACATTGAGAAAACAGTTTTGTTGAATATGTCAAAATGATCGTTTATTTTAGGAAAGCGAAGTTGTTTGGCATACAAATAGGTTTCTTGTTCTAAATAAATGGTATTTTCATAGCCGAACAAACCTTTCAACTGCTATATCTCATAAATAAGTGATCCAGGATGAACAGAGTTGCCCCAATTGTCAGCAGGAGCGAGACAGACAGTATATATTCTGGAGAATATCGTTGATTGATATATTACGCTTACGCTTAAGCGTAATATATCAATCAACGAGAATATCCCCGGAGAGACTATGTTTATTATACAGTGAGGACCAAAACTCCGTCGCCCTCCCCGTTACTTCTTCATTTTACATATTACAAAAAAATATTAGAAGCTTTCAAGAAGTTACCATAGGAGAGTGAAGTCATGTTCTGACCTTGTGCGCAAATAGTCGAGATACTAATTTAAGATTGCTCATAATTCTAACTTTTGTGAAATGAAACCATCTATCAAATTTGTTTAGTGTCCTATTTAAAGAAATTGACTTCTGAGGCACTTTGTATTAATGAATCTTCTACCATTAAAAAGATCGAATGAAACCCTACCACTTCTGCATCTCACTGTATTTTCAATTCTACTGAGGATGGCAATCTGGTTGCCGAAATACGTATCCAGGTTTCTGGTATATTCATTATATATGTATTTGATTATTCGACCAAATTATCAAAAACTTCACTTTTCAATCGTGCTAATAAAAAAGGTAGTTATAAAGCGGGTAATGAGAATCTGTTGGTCCATCTATCCAATCAATCACGTTTCGCAGATTCAGAGAAAATGATGGATGATAATTGAGTGAAAAAAGGGTGGCAAGCAGTCGTAAAATATGGGACGACATATTAAATAATATAAAAATCTCGAGACAGTATATTTGAGCTCGTAATCCGAAATCTCGAGTCTGTAATAGGTGTTTAAGCGAGCCTATCCTCCCAGAAAGATGCCGTAAGCAGGAGAGACGGTGATTTAGTGACGATGAATTACGTCCTGCGATTCCTGCGAGCTCACAGTGCCTGCGAAAGTTGATTTTTTTTCAGCGAACATAAACTCAAAGGTGCCTATTAAAGTTTCTTAGACGATGTCACGAGACATTTTCAACAGGAAAGTGAGTGGGCGACAGATATGAACAGAAACGTTGTTAATTCGTTTTTTCTATCTATACTGAATTGGAACAAAAACGTACATATACAAGATATTCCGTAGAGAACATTTTGCTAGCAATTTTCCCGACTATTAGTGTAGAAAAATGCATTAGGGATATAAACGTCGTTTCCCTCTGACTAATTTATTTTTATCACTCTCATGTAAATTCGGGCTTGGATGAGGAAACTGCCGCAAATTTAGAAATATTTCCTGTTTTCGGAGTCCCGACAACCGAAAAGATAGAATGGAGTTTCTTCGTATAGAAAACATCAACCTGTCCTAGTTCTGGAAGATTGATGCAAAATTCATCTCATCAACTTCCACCCTTTTCAATAACAAAAGAAAGCATGTTCATCAAGCATTTGAAGATCTCGCCAAAATCAATAGTTTTACTATGTGTTGTTCAAAGCCAATCAGCCTATTAGGTGAAGGCTTTTAGCTCTATAGGCGACCCTTGTTTGTGTTCTCGTTTCGTATCCTTGTGAAATACAAAATTTGAAGATCTCTGGAGTTCTTTTTCGGGGGAAATATCCCAAAGATTCTTTAACACCCAAAAATTTGAAGCAAATCCAAAACTCACCTTTTGTCGCTTGCTACCTCAGGTACGGAAGATATGTTACAATGGGTCAATGGAGATCTCTTTACATGAGATTTCAAGGTCATTTTTCCATCATCAGATCATGCAGATTCAGAGAACAAAACAATATATCAAAAGACTTTTAGTGCACTTTAATTCAAAGAACAATTATTCTGGATGAGAATTTCGTACAGAGCGTGCACCCAAAATGTGGATCATCAGTTGGTGTCAGTGAGTTTTTGTTCCCTGTCTGTATGCAGATTGGTCAAAAAGAAATCCCCGTTCACTGCGTCACATAATATATTATTTCGAGCAAATCTTTATTCTGACAGCTTGATTGCCAGATTTATTCCAGCACTTAGAGCTCCGTTCACTATCAAATGTAATGTTTTCCGAGCGAATAATGCCACACACGGCACGTCTGGCATTAATTTATGACTAAATTACCGTGTGTAAGTACCCTTAACTTTAATTTGTATAGGATTCAAGCACTCAGAATTCTAGGATCGATTATTATCTATTTCAATTCTTCAACGTCTTGAATATTTATATGGGTAAGTTTGTACTTATCATGCGATGGATTTTTTCTTCGGAAAATTTTTTTGTTACCTACGTATTTTTCATATAATATCATTACCACGGCTGAAGTCTCCTGACATGATCTTAGCTCCTGGGTGATAATGATATAACTATACCATGTTGTATACATGTATATGATTTCTGTGGTAGCGAGAACTTTGGCTAAAAAAAAAATGTAGATTGTTTTATTTGGATCAAAATGACACTTTGTTTGATCCGAATGAAACATGCTATTTTTACTGCAACCGAAAGAATTAACTCAAATAAATATGTGAAGTATCCACCAATGCACAGCCATATGTACCTATGCAATGCAACAAAAAGTCCGTGTGGTGAGAATATTCTACTTGCATCAGAAGCCAAGCAGGTTTATTCTGTTTTCAAGGATATTCGAATTCTAGTTTCAATATAAATACAACCACAGAGTGACATATTTGTGTATGGACCAGGTGCTCTGATGGCAAATACCGCGTCAGTGCCAGCTATAAGAACAAGACGTGGAAAATGTTAGGTTAGTGAGCATATCAACAATAATAATAGCGATTATTTATTTCTCTCCATATTCCGTGCCGTGATTATTCAAAAACAAGTTATCCAATCAATCAAATCCCGATAATATCGAATGAAATGCAGATCAAGCAAGTATGTTAATCTTGAAGGCTTTCCTGATCAATACAGAATTACTTAACTATAATATGACGTATTTATATCTCCAGCATGGATATGAAATGCCAAATCTGCCGAAATCTGGAACAAATCAGGTAAGCGTCCCAAATAACCAACAATAACAATGTTGTTTATTCTTGATGACCTCTAGTAAATACTTCTTAGTTTCTAGAAGCTAAAGTTCAACTTTATCTCCTAGCAACATGCCTATTCTTGTGTCTGTATTAGAAACGTCAATTCAAGTGCTAACTTTGGTATCAAAATGGACGAATTTTCTGGCGGTTGCAGAAAAAGAGTATATCAGTCCGTTTTTTCTTCCATAGCCTGAAAAACTCATCATTATTCACAGTCTCATATTGCTTCGAAGTAAACCAGATCGGCAGGGGATCAGGTCGAGAAATTCGATAGTGGATTTTTAACAGTGGGTTACCATCGCTCCACGATCCTTAATTCGACGTTAGAAAAGGGTTCGATCTAATAAAATATCCGTTGGATTATCCGAATTTGCTCCGCGAACAAGAAATTATTCTTAGATGTGTACTGAAGAACAGGATTTTCAATACTTGGCGGCCATATTGTTTCGCCCTTTTGTGTTTCATTCACATTTATATTAATGGCAGTGGAGTACAACATGTAGTCATGACACGAGAAGGAGAACTCATTTTCTCAGTTATGTTGAGAAGTAATTGCTTGAAAGTTTTGCGGTGTTTTCTCGACTGAACAGCGGTACGATATTTCCTGACTAGCTCGTAAAAAGGACCTTGTTGAAAAAGTAGAGTCATATTTAAGTGACACGCTACACTTCTTAATTACTTCAGCCAAAATTAATATTTAAACAACTCAATTTAGAAAGCCGTTGCGAAAACCACACCAAGCTTTAATCACAATTGTGCAAAAAATCTTCATAAAAGTTTCTACTATAATACGAAATTCATATAGCGGTAGGCTCAGGAAAACAAAAACCACAGCTATATAACTAGATTTTCCGTGCTCAGTGATGAATTATGCAATATCGTTCAATGATGAATTAGTGAGTATTTCAATTAATACAGGATTACCTCTGTGCTTCACTCTGTTTTGGTTTGTATTACACCTTTCCAATGTAATTCGCGGAAAACAGCATTCGTTATTTATATTTGTCAGTTGTTTCCTGCAAAAAATTTCGGTTCAGCTGGATTTTTTCAACTCAGAATACGCTATCATGGATTTATTCAAATAGTAAGTTTTTCACAATTAATTACAAATAACGAAACCGTAACTAAGTCAGATGGCGCATTCTGAATCAGAAGTCATGTATAATAAAATTTCGCTGGTCTCGACTGATATTTTAAAATGTTTTTATTCTGAACAAGAATACACACGTACTCTAAAGAATGCAATTTTCTGAATTACTTGAGATTTATTATTGATCGCTAGAATCTAAGAACACGCCAAGTCAACCTGTTAACTGGAATTCCGAGACTGTCATTACAGGGGGCGCTGAAAAAACATAAATCCCATCTTAACAAACTCGAACCCCACCATCAGTTCAATGAGGTTGACGAAGAGAAATTCGCGAGAATATAACTGGAATTACCCAAAAACAATTCGATTTCAAAAATGAGATTTTTTTCTGTGTCGAAATATGATAATTTCAATTTGCAGGTTCACCGATTTTTGTCTTTTAGTGCTCACGTTGCTGCTACTGCATCATATATGGCTCATCACCCTGCAAGCATTCCTCAGTAAAGCAGAGAAAAAAATGCCCTTGGTAGCTGCAAATATTTCGAATAATAATTACTGATTTGTAATTTGAACGCACTGTATTTCAAAATCTGTCCATTGGAGAACTGTGCGATTTTGCACGTTCAATCATTTCATCGAATACTAGAATATGGAAAATTCTTGAGAATATTTCCATCTGCAAAGAATTCCAAAGCTTCGCCGGGTCAGCTAGTATTATGTAATATTTTGCTCAAAAAGTAGGTTTGGCTTTTTTCGAAAATAGGAGGTACAGAGATTCGAATCGACCGACATAGCTAGAATCATTTTGATTGTTCTAGGAATGTGTCCATACCGAAAGCCATGGTTATTCAAATTCTTGCTAGTCTTTGCACCTCTTTCGGTCTACTCTCCTAAACGTCCAAACACAATGCAAAAGAAAAATTGATCATACAATCAACTGATGCCACAATGACTCTGATGTTATGTTGCGTTGCATAAACAATCTGATGTTATAATAATCATTCCATTTACTAAATGAGTTTAATTCATTGTACCAGTATTTCACCTGAGGAAGCTACTGTGTTAGCGAAACATGTCGTGTGTTTGAAAATGTTGTGGAAATCTTATCGTTTGTGAAGTTTTTACATTAGTAATGTATACAGGGTGTTTCAGATTTGAATGTACATACGATACCTGTAGATAGGGGACACTGTGATGGTTCCAAATTACCCCCCTTTGATGTGTCTACCGTTTTTTATAACTGAGATACAGGATGATATCTTGATTTTGGCAAAATCATCATCTGGTCATAGCTTTTGAACAACTTTGTATAATCTATCTATACTTGGTAGAACTATTTCACTTATATTACCCATCAGAACTAAATGAAAATCGGGATCAGAATCCAGGTCCGTCTTGAGGAAAAACAGAAAACTTCTTTTATATCAAAAACAACACTCTGTATGGCAGAATTTTTCAGATCTGTTTCAATATCTCAAAAGAGCAGGGAAAAACGAATGGAGTGACCTACTTTTTACGACCGCGCATCCGATTTAACAGATGTTTTATTATTATTTTCTGATATACTCGGCTCCATTTTGAGTCATTTTTATTGAACTCGCAATTCAAAATCCAATTGTTTCACAAAATAATAACGTCCTTCGAAGTTCAACATCAGTGGTGTGAAATAGATAAATCTGTTCGTTTGACAGAATAACGTCTGTGATTTTGGAAATTTTGGAGGGCTTGTTTTATTCTTCACTATTGATTCATGAGCTGCGGTAAATCTATCAATTGTTCACCTAATTTATTTTTAATGATGATCAACTTTGAAGACAATTATTTTTTTGTATCAAAATTGGATTTTGAAAAACAGTTCAATAAAATTTCCTCGAAATGGGGTAAATATTTCAAAACATAATAATGAACTATCTGTCTAATTGGATGCGCGCTTGTTATAAGTAGGTCACTAGATAAATTTTTTCCTGCTCTTTCCAAATATCAAAACAGATCCACAAAATTTTGCCAGTCAGAGTGTTGTTTTTGAATTAAACAAGTTTTCTGTTTTTCCTTAAGACGGACCTGGATTCTGATCTCAATTTTTATTTAGTTTTGATGTGCAATATTAGTGAAATATTTCTACCAAGTATGAATAGATTATACAACGTGGTTCAAAAATTATGACCAGATGAAGATTTTGCCAAAATCAATATAACGTCCTGTATCTCAGTTATAAAAGACGATAAACATATCAATGGGGGTGATTTGAAACCGTCAACTTGTCCTCTATCTGCCAGTATCGTATGTACATTTAAGTCTGAAACACCCTGTATATTTTTTGACATTATCAGAAAGAAGAGATTTCAACGAACAAAAAACACCCCAAGTTTTTTTTAAAGCTGATATTTTGACGTGAGAATTTTCGAATGAAAATTACGGTGTTTTTTCGAGGTCTCTTTATTACCTACAACTTTGTCATTTAATATTCCTCCATAGTACTTGTGGTTTTGCCGGAAATCGACCTTAGATCGCCCGCAAATTGTTTTTCCTTCCATTTTTGTTATGTTCTCGTCCTTTCTCAACAGGTTTCATCCTACTATTATTTTTTTTGTTTCAAAAATTATTGACCCTGGTCTAATTCCTCTACATTCTGTCACGACCTTAACGCATGCGAACGGCATAATAATTAGTCCGTGTGTTGCAGGTGATAAGCTACGACTCGAGCCGTGGCGGCGTGAGCGTCATCACCGAGAAGGGCGACGTGACGACCAGCTTCCTGCTGATCCAGCACGCCGACATTTCGGACTCGGGCAAGTACTCGTGCAGCCCCTCCAACGCGGACGTCGCCAGCGTGAGGGTGCACGTTTTGAACGGTGAGTCCGTCCAATGGTGGAATCAGAATCGACCATTTTCACGATTCCCCCTGTACTACAACAACATTTTTCTCTTGCTACTATCGGACTTGCGCTACCAACATGGTTTTACCTACAACATCCAACTAATTACATGACACTACGCATATAGCAGAGGATCTGGATAATCAATTTCAAACAGACGTAATATATCGTCGGCTTACTATCAAAACCTTGTCCGTATTCTAGGGAATTTTACGTTTGAACATTTTCACCATCTACGAAATTCAGTGCACCCATCACCAAATCATCGTAAGTCTATGTTTTTGGTAGCGACATCTATTAGATATAATTTAAATCTCCTAACTCTACTCTGAGAGATTTTGAACTCAAAAACTCTGCAAGAGAGGATAGGATTAAGTTGTATTGTTGAGAAAGTATTAATCACTATTGTTTGATTCATTATTTGAGATGAAATCCATGTCAGAGACCAAAGTAAGTTTATGATGAACTGTTTGGTCAATTTTCTCGAATATTTCTGCAGTGATGCGAAGGATACGAGGTTCTGATTTGTATGTTATCTTTCTAGTAGAGGAATTAAGAGCTTTTGAGAAGATGTCATGGATATTCGTATAAATTTATTCTGTTCATTCCAAATGAAGACATTGAATATTTTGGTTTATTATTGTTGGACCCATATTTCTCATTGTTTTCAAAACTGCCGCTGATTTGCTACATGTACTGTGAAGCAAGGCCAAACTAAATGACAATTTTCACTAGTAATTGATCAAAACCAATTCAGTCTGAATAATGTTCAATTTATTCTTGTAAATACTTCGTATGTTGATCATTTGAACATTGAGAATATAAGTCTTCTCAGAATGTTGATTTCATTCATCAAGCAGGTACTATGTAAAGGAGGAATTGCCCTAAAAAAATGAAATTGAATCGTTCGAAGTACCTAGTGGAGAACGTTTTTCCCCCTCATGAACAATTAGCTCTGAAAGACTTACGAGGTTATGACAGTAAGCCGACGATATACAGCATTCAACAGACTCGATCACGGCATTTTATTGAATGAACTGTATAAAATCGGGTTCACTTCTCATTTAATAGAATTATTTCTGTCATATATATCATCAAGAAGGCAATTTGTCGAATTCCATGGTCACAGGTCACTCGCTACATCTGGAGTACCTCAAGGGTCGAACCTTGGTCCTCTGTTATCCAACATATTTATTAAAGACATACTAGGCGGCATCGAAGTTAATAATGGTTTGCTATGTGCTGACGATATGAAAATATTCCAAAGAATTCAAATACAAATGATGATACAATTATGTCAAGATAACTTAGATAGCATTAACGAATGGTGTATTACCAATAAGCTATTTCTCAATTCAGGAAAGTGCTGTGTGATGTCCTCCACTTTGAAATCTTGTGTAATGTTCAACTATACCATTGATAATACTGACTTACAGAGAGCAGAGACATTCAAGGATCTGGGAGTGATATTTGATCGAAAACTTTCATTTGTAAGTCGTATCGAACAAATATCGTCAGCTGCCAGCGAATCCCATTTTCGTATATGAATCGATTCATTGGCGCTTTTTGCAACTACTTTTTTTCAAAATAGATGGAGAATATCCAGAAATTAGCATTCCTCATAAAAATTTACTTGAGAGACATTGATTCCGCAGTTTACAAACTCGTAGATGGTACCATCAAATCCTTTTCAAAGCAATCAATGACTTATGTGACTTCCATTATTTGACGCAAAGAATTCAATTTCACGTTTCAAGAATGGCGTCCCGAGTGAATCGATCCTTTTTCTTGCCAACTACACGCACGAAAATATGCCTAGAAACTCTCCAGTACAAAGAATCTGTGGAAATCATATTGATTATTGCTCAGCTTTTGACATTTTTGATTATTCTTGTTTACTTATATTCCTGTAATTCTTAGTTTGTAATTGGAATTATTCTGTGAACTGAGTGAATAAATAAATGAACACAGAAGCCGAATTGCCTCACGCGTCACCAACCAAACTCGTTTTTTAGCGATAAAACTTTTGACATTTGAAACATCAATTATATCGAAAGCCAGAATGATGAATGCAGTGTGCGAGTTAAGTGTTGGCAAACCACGAAAGAGTTTTTAAAAAACAATTTTTATTCGGAAATACAGAGACAAACGTTTACTTCAAAGTCTACATTCAATCTAATCTGAATCACATGAGAAATTATGTTCGACAAAGTGCTTAATGTTTAGTCAGCGATCTCGGGTTAGCAGGATCTTGGAAATACTGGGGTCGTCTAACTCGAGGTCGATCGGATTCAGCAATTCTAGGGCTTTGACATGACATAACTCCTCCCTGCGGTAGAGACGAGCATAAACTGGAAGTTTTGTGACGTCAGACAACTATCCTTGGTTTTGGTACTACAGGGTTCCTCTTTTCTTTGGCCTTCGGTTCCTGGTCATTTGATGGTGGGCTTATGTTTTCGGGAATTTTTCGGAGGTTACTGAACAAGTTACGATTCTTGTAAATAACGTAAACTATCAGCATTATCATCCCAACGTATAGAATAATGGTCCAAATGCTGATTTTATCGTAATGGATGGTACTATCTGATTGGATTTCACTGATAGCTTGAAGTTGGAGATCCAGAGCGCTCTGTATATTATTTGTATCTCCTAGGTTGATTGATTCCAACTTGAGAGGTACAAAGCGGGTTCTTGATAAAACTGATGGGCTACTGTCCATTGTTAACCTTGGTAATTTTATATTTTCGAAAATAGTTTTTGGGTTGTTATAGTTCTTTAAATGATAGTTTTTGAGGGTCACTTCACAGTACGAATTTAGTTCTAACACGAAAGTTCCTTTCAACGGCACGTTTTCTTTTTTCTGTCCACATCTTTGTACAGCAACAGCCTCGTTGGGAGAGACTATAATCCATTTTTGGCCTTCCAAATTTTGAACTTTGATTTCGTTCATTTCGATGGCAACTGGATGGCAGTTTGTTATCTTCTCGGAGAATCTGAGCATTTGGATTTCGCAAGGAGCTTCGTCGCTTAATGTAATGGAATTAGTTTCATGGCATAAAAAATCTTGATTGGATATTTCTTTGCATCTGGTGTCGAAAAATACGTAATTGTGTTCGTTAAGGATTAGGTATTTGGACCGAGGAATGACGATTCTGTATTGATTATTTGTTGACGTTGGTAGGGGATAAAGATGATAGTAGGTGAAATTTTCGGCTTCTACTACTGGGATTTCAATAATGAATACAACTTGGTTACCTTTTGTATAGCTCTTAATTCTTATTATCTTTTCGATCACTAGAATATTTTCCAAAGTTGGTTCGATTGGGAATCGATTAGGCTGTAAATGTTCACTGATAGGTTTGATTTCATCTAGCAATTCTTTGGGCTCGATTACTGAATTGTGAAGGGTATCTAATTTTGAAAACGTAATTGCTACCTCAATTTTTTCAAATATATCGTATATTGTTTGAAAGGCCGACATAATTTGGGATATGAGCATCTGAACCAAAAAATAGTGGCGGTCTCCCATTTCTTGAATTGACTTTTTACTGATTGATTGCTCTATTTGCATTATCCTGGATTCTAAGACTAATTGGTTGTGACTTATATTTCTTGAAATTTCATTGAATTTTTTTGTTGATGACTGAAGGATTGTGATTTGTTCTCGAAGGATATTTTTGATTTTATTCTGATTGTTAGACAGTTGAGAAATGGCTTCATCGTATTTCTCAGCATCTTCATGATCGAGGTTCCCTGTCAGTGTTTTGATTATCGTACCTAATCCGTCAAATAGGCTCCTTTTTGTTCTGGTGTTCGAAGTAGGATTTATTTGATGAATTTGCATCTGAATTTTCTTTTCGAGCATGGTTACCAAATTATAAGAGTTATGAAATTCCTGTTGATGACTGGTTGAATTTTCTATTGCGGATTTGAGTCGTACAAAGTTGCTCTCGAGTGTTCTGAATTCTTTGATGACATCACTGGTATCGAAGATTTGAATAAATGACCAATAACTGATGACATTTTGTGCGTTTCCTAACTTCAGTGGCAGCAGACCAGGGTTTCCATTGAGGTCATGAAATTTCGAGTATCCTAATTCTGTTCTGGTGAAGGGGATCGATCTGTAACAACGGGGATCCTGAGTTCTTTTATATGCAATGTTTCTGTTTTATCGTTAGATTTGTTTTTGAGTTTCACTTTATTATTTTTCAGAATTTGTACTATTTCAAATGGACCTTTGAATTTATTCTCTTTTTTATTGCGTTTATTATTGGATTTATATACTGTTTGCCCTACCCTGAACTGAAATTGTTCTGGACCTTCAGAATTTCTTTTATCTATAACCTTCTGTTTGGCATTCCTCATTTTGTCCGTTATATTTTCGTACAGGTGACGGATTTTTTCTCTATGGTTAGTTACGTAATCTGCATAAAATGATGTTTCTATTAAGTCGGAGGGGTCCCGAGAGTTCGTATGACCGAAAGTTAATTCGTGAGGTGTAAATTTTGTCGATGAATGAAGTGAATTATTATAGGCTATTATTGCGTATTTCATAAGAGTTATAATGACATCCTTATCGTGTTTTTGTCTAAGAATTCGCAAATGCTCTATCAAAGTAGAGTGGAATCTTTCGACAGGTGAATTTGATTCATGGTGGAGGGGCGTGGTGAAGTGTAAATCAACATTATGAGTCTTCAACAATTCCTTGACGGTTTCGTTTTTGAATTCGGGACCGTTATCCATTGTTATTTTGTCGGGGAGTCCGTAGAAGGAAAAATAGTTAAGTAGGGCTTCACAAACTTCTATTGCAGTTTTACCTTTTATAGGTATCGCCTGTCCTACTTTAGAAAAAGCGTCAATTATTGTGACGAAATCTTGATTGTCGAATTTGAAAATGTCAACATGAAGAAGTTGAAATGGCTTTCCTACTGTTTCGGTCAAGACTAACGGGACATATGGATTTTTTCGGGAATATT